CCCTACCAAATCCCAAAAGAGATCCGCATCAATCAAGATATCAACATCTGCTGGTACAAAGAACGTAGGATCCGCCAAACTAATGTCAGTAGGGATGTCAATATTAGAAATATTAATTTCGTGACCGGGTACATTACTTGTGATTGATGGCAAAACATAACATTGAAGCTCAGAAGAGAAACTGTTATTCAACGACGTCATGTGCACATGACAAGTTTTGCCTACGCGTAAAGTTGCGTTATTTACACCCATGATTGACTTATCTACCTGACAGGTTTCCAAATTTAATTGTCGACACAATCTCTCAGTCATTAGACTTGATGTACTACCACTGTCTAATATTGCACGTACTATATGTTCGTGATTATTCTTGTCATATAATTTTACCAACGCAGTAGATAATAACACATTATCTTTAACTGCCACGCAAATTTGTGCTCCGTCAAAATTATAAATTTACAGTGTTTTTACGTGAAACCTATACTTGTGTATTAGTGTTCTGGATTGCGCGTATTCTAAAGAAATCGGTGATGTACTTTACTATATTAAAATAGTTTATATTACTGTGTAAATCAATCAAAATTTATTTTGTTGAATTGGTTTCATCAACAAACTGACTAAACTGAGACCAGTACCCAGCGCTTCAATAAAACGCGTAAGCGACGCGTATATCACGGCGCTTACGCTCTTCTTCTTGCTTCACTGTCTGCTTGCTGTGCTTGGGAGTAACCAAGCGTTTCACTTGCTGTACACTTCTGATCGTCTAATCTAATAGTTATAATAAATCGCTTTATTCGCTGCAAGTTATTGAACTCTCTGCATAATGCCACCAAAAGCACCGCCAATTAAAAATAAAAATGCTGCATCTTGTAATACGAAAAAAGACCGTTGTGGTTCTGAGAGTTCGTCTTCATCAACCGCTACTAGTGCTTTTAATACGCCTACTTTATCACCACAAAGCGATAATAACAATGTTACTCTGCGCCATACAAATGCGCAGCAGGGTTGCAGTTGCTTGTCAGCCGAATCTATACGCAAAATAATAAGGGAGGAAATTAATACTACTCTTGTGAATAAAATACAGCCGCAGATAGTGGAAATAAAATCTTTAGTAACGGCTTTTGAAACATCTATTTCATTTTTTAATATCGAACATGAAAAACTTAAAAATGATCATCTTGAACAGAAATCCGCTATAGAGAATATAGTTAAGGAGAATGAGGAGTTACGTTTGTCAAATTCAGAAATTTCCACGCGCATGAGAATTTTAGATCAGCAACTTCGCGCAACAAATATTGAAATTCACTGTGTTCCTGAACATAGGAATGAAAACTTGGCTCTTACTGTACAACAATTGGGCAAAACTATTAAGTGTCCTATTGCAGATAACGAGATAACCTATTGCACAAGAGTAGCTAAAATTAACCCTAACAACCAGCGCCCAAGATCTATCATAGCAAAATTTAACAGTCCCCGTCTTAGAGATAAATTTCTTGCGGCCGTGATTAAACATAATAAAAACCAGCCTACTGATAAATTGAATACCAGCGACCTTGGCATCGGTGGCGATAAAATATCACCTGTTTTCGTAATGGAACATCTAACTGTGGAAAACAAAGCACTACACGCCGCTGCACGCCTTAAAGCAAAATCACTTGGATATAAGTATGTTTGGGTGCGTGATGGACGTATATTTATGAGAAAGTCAGATGATAGCAACTATATATATGTTAAGAATAAGGAGTTTTTGGATTCGTTAACGTAGTTGTATTTTTTTTTTTTTTTTTCTCTGTATAAATATTTGATACGGACTCATGTTTTGGATATAATATTTTAGAATTCGATTCCTTAAATATTTTTTATCAAAATGTTAGAGGTCTAAAAACTAAAACTTATGAATTTTATAATAATGTGATTTGCAATAACTATGATATAATACTGCTCACCGAAACGTGGTTGGACGGTAGCCTCCACGACTCTGAACTGTTTGATGTCAATAAATATGCTGTTTACAGACGTGACAGGGCATCATCAGGATTTCATTCTGGAAAATCTGGCGGAGGGGTGTTAATGGCAGTCTCAAAAGCTTTTGTGTCTAGACGAATTACCAATTTTGAATCTAATTGTGAGGATGTCTGGGTGGAGGTATCGGCCTCTAATATTCAATATGAGGCAGAGAAACTTTATATCTGTTGTGTCTACCTACCGCCACCTATACAACATCATATATTAAAGCACTTTGTTGATAATGTTAATCGTGTAACAGAATTCACCCATTCAAAGTTACTTATTGCTGGTGATTTTAACCTCTGCAATATTCAATGGAATGTATCACAAAACCCTGAAGAACCAATTGCAAATACTAATAATAGTTTGTATGGCAATATGTTTATTGATTTCGTGACGCTAAATTCATTAAAACAGTATAATTGTGTTTTTAATAGTAAGAATAGATTACTTGATTTAATCCTCAGCCATAATGTCATTACGGAATTGCAGGAATGTCCGGACCCATTATCGGTGATCGATGTGTATCATCCACCTTTGACATTTTCACTCAATTATTGCAATAAAAGTAATATGCTACGTAATAATGTTAACTCGCGTTATAACTATTTTAAGGCCAATTACGAACTCATAAACAAAGAATTACAAGGTTTGAATTGGGATAATGTTTTTTCTGCATCAGATTCGATCGATGATATGACTACAATATTTTACAATATATTAAACGACGTTGTTCGACGTCATGTTCCAATAAAAAGTTCTTACAAAGGAAATAGGTATCCAGTGTGGTATTCACAGGGACTTATCGGTGTAATTCGAGAAAAATATAAAATTAGAATGAAACTACGCAAATATAATAACAACCCTCGTGATGTTTTATCATTTAATCTTCTAAAAGATAGGTGTAAAAAATTACAATCAGACTGTTACCATAAATATATTACAAGTTTGGAGAGTTCGTTTAAATCTAACCCTAAATTGTTATGGTCTTATATCAACAATAAGAAAAATAAACAAAGCCCATATCCAGCCCAAGTTTTTTTGAATGACACTTCTGCCAGCAATGGCCCAGATGTCTGTAGATTATTCGCAACTCACTTCTCTTCAATTTACAGAAAATATGGTAATCAGAAAAATAATGATAGCAGTGCTTCGCAGTTATACGAATATGCAAGCAACACTATAACCTCCTTAAAATTCACTAGAAATAATGTCTTCAAGATTTTAAAAAGACTTGGTTTTCATAAAGGAGCGGGTTTTGATGGATTTCCTTCAATTTTTGTAGTGAAATGTGCGCAACATTTAGCTTATCCTCTTTCTTTAATATATAATAAGTCCATAGCTGATGGTGTATTCCCCAAGGTCTGGAAAACTTCATTAATAGTACCGATATACAAGAATGGTCCAGATCATCTAGTCAATAACTATAGACCAATTTCCATCTTGACTGTTTTTGCTAAAGTTTTTGAGCAATTATTGTGCCCAGTATTGTTGTCTCATTTTGATCATATATTTTCCAATAAACAACATGGATTTATTAAAACGAGATCCACAGCTACTAATCTCGTTTCCTTTGTCGAGGATCTAAGCTTGTCAGTAGATGCTCGCTATAACTGTGATGTAATTTATACGGATTTCAGTAAGGCTTTTGATCGCGTTCAACATTTTGTTTTGCTAAGGAAACTTGAGCACTATGGTATATGTAATAGTTTACTAAATTGGTTTAGTTCTTACCTTACAGAAAGACAGTCTCTTGTTGTAGTAAGTGGCTACACATCTGACCCCTTTTTGACTATCTCTGGCGTACCACAGGGCTCTCACTTAGGCCCTTTACTCTTCAATGTTTTCATTAATGACGTGGTAAAAAGTTTTCATCATTCGGAATGCTATCTTTTTGCTGATGATCTCAAATTAATGAAAAAAATTCAGTCTACTGCTGATAATGAACTACTACAAGCAGATTTGGATAGGTTGGTTGATTGGTGTGAGCATAATGGTATGGAACTTAATATTGATAAGTGTTGCTATGTTCAGTTTAGTAGGAAAACAGATATAAATACATACAAATATAATATAAATGGAACTGATCTTAAAAATGTGAGCACTATCAGGGATTTGGGTATTATTCTTGACTATAAATTAAGATTCAATGTACACATCGATAATATTGCTAATAAGTCTAATAAAATGCTTGGTTTTTTGCTTCGCAATAGTAAGGAGTTTAAAAACCCACAGACAAAAATTTGTCTATATAACGCGTTTGTTCGGTCACACCTTGAGTACTGCAGCGTAGCTTGGAATCCACACTATGATATTTATACTAAGCGTCTCGAAAGGGTTCAAAAGAGGTTTCTTTGGCATTTAACTTATAGCTGTAACCTAACGAGGAAGTTGCCGCACTACTCAGACAGACTCAAATACTTTAAATTGAACCCTCTAACTGTAAGAAGAAAAGTACTAGATATTATGTTTCTTTGGAAATTAGGGAATGGCATATTGAACTGTTCAGAGTTGTTGTTTAAAGTTAATATTCGAATACCACCTAAACTCCCTAGACCTGGTAAATATAATATATTTATAGAAAATCTCGCACGAAGTAATTTGGGCTTCTACTCACCTTTAAACAGGCTAATGAGAACTTATAACACTTATTCAAAGAAACATTCATCAGTTGACATATTTAGTAATAGTTATTGCAAATTTCGCAGATGTCTCAATAGTATCATAAGTTCTAGTTGAATCAGTACAGGTTTTATATAGGTAGAATTTTAAGTTGTTTTTTATGTTTTGTTAATTGTTAATTGTAAGCACAAATTTGTCACATAAATGTCGTAGTTGCCTATAATTAAGGTTGCGCTTAGTATAAATAGATTGTAATGTAATATATATAATGTGTAAGTGTAAACCTTGTTGGTGACCTAAATAAATAAAAAAAAAAAAAAAAAATACATCACATTGAATTTTATTATAACTAGACATATTTGCTGCTAAAGTTACATTGTCAGAAGCAGCAGTCGTTGAAGACGACGCTAAAGGTGTAGTTTCAGATACGACTCTATTTTCATTACGAATATGATGATCATTGGCTGCATGAATCAGAGTGTTGTGTCGACGCTTGCATATTTTGCAACCTGGCCTTTTGCATAGATTAGCAAAATGACCTACACGAAAACAATTGAAACATACCTTAAAACTGGGTAGTACCTTTAGGCGCGCTTCAACGCTCAACGCAAGAAACTGGGGGCAACCGGTTAGACTATGGTCACCCTTACACTTAGGGCAGATTCGATTATGTGATTCTGCTGTATTGGAATTCTGATGTGGATGACTGCCATGAACTGAAACCATAGATTTTAATTTCATAGTCGATTTATGATTTAAATTGCCCTGATTGACACGTGAAAGCTCTAATGTTTCAATCAAATCTGCACGATTTCGGATAAATTCTAGAAAGGTGTCAAAGGTAATTGAAGTATCTTTATGTGAATGCCCCTTAAATTCCTCCCACTCTCTATAAGTTTTACTATCTAATTTATGGGTAATAATATGGATTAAAAGGGTATCCCAATGTTTGACAGGTTCACCTAATGATTCAAGTGCCCGCAAGTTTTTATTTACCTGATCAATTAACCGCTTTAAATTTGCTGATGACTCCTTTGTTATTGCTTCCACATTGAACAAAGAAGACACATGATTTTGTATCAACAGACGTTTGTTGTCAAATCTATCGCACAAAAGTTTCCACGCAACAGCATAATTACTAGATGAAAACTCAACTGATTGAATTACCACGGCAGCAGAACCCTCTAACGATGCACGCAAATAGTGAAATTTATTCACTTCGTCTATTTCATCATTGTTGTGTATAAGGCTAGTAAAGGTGTCTCTAAATTCCAAATAATCATCGTATGAACCACTGAATCGCGGTAGCTGGATGGTCGGAAGACGCACCAGCTTATGATTATTGCTCGCTCGAGTACCTCCATCACTACCCATATTGCTCATAGTCTCAACATTAACATTTTGTAAACCTTGGGCTTTCGCGATTGCCTTGAAATATTGTGATTCAAAATCGGAGCGCTCTTTAAATTGCTCTTCACTATTATCAACTATACATTCAAGGCGCAACTGTACCTGATCATACTGTTCATACAACGACTCAATTTTACCCATACGTAATTGTAATTCTCTGGCATCCGAGAGACTTAACGGTTCATCAGTTAGTGTATGCAAATAATTAATAAATGCAGTTAAACGGCCTTTAAAACTGCCTCGCTTTTTTATTAACTCCTTTTCTTCGGTCATTATGGGATTCGAGTGTTGTCGACCTGGAATTTATACAATTAAAAAATTAATTCTAATTAATGAAATAAAGATCTACGATCAATAGGTATGAATACAAAATATTAAGCTAACAATATGTTAATTCGATAAAGAAATATATTTATATGTATATTATATAAATCTAGTAAATGTACTGTAAATGTTGTGACATTACATATATTACATATGCACAAGCATAAGTACCGATTCAAATTGACATTAATAGAGAAAATACTAGATTGTTTCTTAACTTGCTGTCGTACATACGGCAAATTATTTGTTTAACATAAATGTACAGATTCCTTAAGTACCTAAATTGTAATATAATATAGAACCTGACAATAAAATTAAACACCAAACACCAAAGTAACATTTAACACAAAAGAATTAGTTATACCTACTTTACTTACATACAACTGACGTGAATAACTATTGAAATTTGCAATTATAAGGCATATATTCTGATAATTAACTCAAACAATGTAGCATTAGTGCTTACTATACTTAATTAAGTATGATTTGTAGTTAATTTTAGCAAATTATGAAAAAGACTAATATTATTCACAATGCAGTAGGTAGGAAACTAATGAAGTTAAAATAATGTGATACAGATAAATAACGTAATTATCGTTTACTAACCTTAATAAAGTTTTTGATTTACTTATAATATTACCTGTAGAGTGTTGGGATAAGTTTATTATATAGTAATTTATACTTAACACCACTATAAATTACACTCGATTCACATCCAATGGTAGGTAGTTCTGCCGGTCAACTTGCATCCAATTAATTTCTCTTTTATTTCTTGTATTTCGATTTAATTCCACAAAATAATAACTGATCCGCATTTAATTCACATCAGGCTTCGATATAGGACCATGTTTTGGAGTAATCACAGCGGATTTTCGGGAATAATGAAATTAAAGACGCAGAGTAACTTGTACGACTTCTATATTTTTAACTTAATAAAAACTACAAAATTGTATGAGCACAAATCGCAAAAGTGTAGTATTTGCGTAAATAAAATAAGTAGGCGCTTTGACTTCACAACAATACCAAACCATAATAAACTTGCGAACAAGATACTTTTTAGAGAAAAAAAAGTTCTATCTAAGTAAATAGTTGATTGTTTCTTTACTTAACTATGAATTTGTGCGCATTTATCTTAGAATAGAGTTTCAATGCGATTTCACTACCCTTAAAAATGTTGTGTGTGTGTCTGAACATTGCACTTGTGTTACATCACATCAAAAACAATTTTATTTCGATACGATATCGATTTTCTACACATATAATAAAAATGAAACTGGTCGCTGTCAGTACACGATGGATAAATTAATAAATAACCTTGGACAATTCACACAGCGCGATCTAGACCCAAGTTAAGCTTGTGTTGTGAGTACTAGATAACTGACAGAAACATATAATTACATATCTTGTTAAATACAAAGAAAACACCCGTATAAACAATCATTCATACTCATGAATATTTGAATCGATTCAGAAAATTGCATCGTGCGAGGAATCGAACTCCCGACCATCGGAAGTAAGGTGGCGAACTAAACCGCTAGACCACGGGGGCGATATATGAGTCAATGTAATAAAATAAAAAATAATTATTGTTAGAACTTTTGTCTGATTATTTGTTTGAATTAAAAGTTCTAAGAATCAATATGGGTTTGTATCAATCCAATCGTTTTACAAGCAAAAGGTTATAGGGGTACGAAGTTGCGTGCTCAGCTAGTATCTCATAAAGTGATAACGTTAAATTAGTAAAGACATGAACAATTTACAATAGTTACTCTACAGTCTAGTAATTATATTATCATCGTACTTAGGTATAAAAATGTAAAAGCTCATCCAAACAACTTTAAACCTTCGCTGTAAGGCTGAAAATTGCTTACAGAACGCAAGCAGTATACGAAACAATCATGTATATCTATGTACATAATAACTGTACCGTCTGATACATAACTTAGCAGCTACATAACGACTATCCTCCGCTGCTCTTATCTCGGAACATAGCCAGACAAATAGATATATCTATACTTACTGTTAGAACTATTAACGATTCCTTAAGCTTGACAATATTTAGAGAATATTGCTATATATATAACTAGAAACATAATTATAATAAATCCTTCGCTATACTATAATATATAATATTTATACCTAGTCATATTTATAAATAAAATATTTCTCGAAATATCACTAATTAATTGTAATTGTTTTCCCGTGTTCAGACTTCTGGAACATTATTTCCTAGAATTTAACTTAAGAGTGCTCATAAGGCAAACTAAAAATATACCAGGAAGCAATTCCAGCCTTAAGGGTGATGAATACAAGCGAGCTAGAGGCAGCTAGCGGTGTGGTACGAAATTTAATCTACCCCCGTCTACCACCCGCTCCTCCACAGCCACCCCGACACAGCACCCGTATATGTGGTAGATAGGTAGGTTTATGTAGGAAATAATTTATTCATATTACCCTGCCTCTGCAGTGCTATTAGTACCTACTTCGTCACATCAACTAAGGTGTGTTTTTCGTAGATGTTTCTATGTATACTATTAACGTAGAATATTTACAACAAGTAGTAGTACTAGTATTACCGACTATGTACTCAGCGATACGACGCTACATAGATACAATGTATGTATATTGTCCTATAGGGCTAACGGCGGCGAGTAGTATACCGTTAGAATGGAGATAAAAACTAGAGGTCGACCAGAAGCTGTGCGGGGGAACGACAAAAACATTTTTGTCTGTATGAACAAACGCTACTCTATAACGAACTATTTAACCCTAGTTTATGTCGGGACATTTTTTTAGGGTGATGATGAAATGGTGCTCCCGCTTTCGCTAACTGTATACGCTGGCGGCTCACCGAATGTGAATAAAGTCAGGTCAGTTAACCCGTGAGCCATGACTTAATATTATAGTGCTATCTTTATATTTAACTAAGACTAATATAGTACTCATTGTTATATTAGCTGTTATAGGAGTGAATGTTCTAAATATTCATTTATATTACTTCATGTCTACAGTATTCTAGAGAAGTACTTTATACAACTGTCTAAAGACAATTGCGTGCATATCTTTGTAGTACCTATTTTTATCTCCCAGTAACATGCTTTACAAGCTATTAGGCATGGTAGCTAATAAGATATAGCAATATAACAAGCATATATATATCTATTAACACATAACGTCAATGTAAACTATGTTTTATGCCGAAATTCTTTATATAATGCCTTTATTTAAAGAATCGTCATATTACATGGTCGTCATTCAGAATTTTCATTCTGAGTTTTCATTTAACATAACAGTTGCTTCGTTTATTTTAGCATACGCTACGAAAATTACATGGAAGAAAGGGACGACGCTATGGCAGCAGCGAGCGTCGCTTTCACCCTCCACGAAAGCCTCCTGAAAATATCTATTGATTATCGTATACATGTTGGTACGTACAGTCACCTACCTCGCCCTGTATTATGGTGACTGCTGTAGAGTACCAATTTATTTGAAGAACATGCATTCAACCACATCCTAAACACGAATTATATACTGCAATTACTTAACTACATCTGTGTTACCTAATACGTACAATTTTTTATGCACATGAATTCCTAATAATTTACATGTACAGAATTAGATAGTTTTTAACTGAGTAGAGACTGACAACATTCACAATAGTAGTAAATAACTTTTAGGAAAAGTGGACAACTGTAAATAATTATAGATACTTTAGTTTAAGTTCAAGTTTATTCAGTATTAGATTTCTACATTAAAACTACACTTTTAAAGGGTTCTAACTGTACATAAAATACATATATTATCCCAAACTGAACACAGTAGATAGTTTAATTCAGAAGAAAATGCTCTTTAAACACCCATTAATTCTGATAGGCCATTTTAGATTTGGATAGAAATTACTGTAATTATTAATGATTATAACGCAGTCATTATACAATTTGATACATTTTTACTTTTCACATTCATCGCTACAGATAAATAAGAGACGGTTCGGAGCTCCACCGCCCATGCGTTGTTTCATAAAAATAGTGCTATGCGTACGATTACCTTACGTATTGGGAACAACTTTATTTTGGGACACTCGGATATAATGGATTCCTAGTTTTTGCGTGAAGCAAAGAATATAAATAATAAATTAGATAAATTTATTATAATATTTCAATATTATTTCTAAATTGATTCGACCGAATGCTTTACCTATTTCAGTTGTCAAGCAGCTTGCTATATCCAGTTGTAGAGTGAGAAAGGGCAATGAAATTACAGAATAAGAGGCATGACATCTCAGTCCTCCGTAATGGCAACAACAATCACAGTCGTCACATAATAATGTGATGTTCATAGTGATAGGCAGTCAGCTAGTTTGCCATACTAATTATATAAAATAAATACCTATACATAAATTCAATGCGCTTAATAGCAACATCGTACCTACACACCGTGTGGGATCGTAGCATATCAATTTATGGCGGTAGCTACACGTAGCTATATAAACATACACGAAAGATATGCGTTATATTTATTCAGTGATATAAACACCTAGATATAGAGTCGTCGTGCCATGACGTAGCGGCGTAGCCGTGCAGTTTATGTTATGTCGGTCGAGACCTGTCGAGTTGGCCCAAGAGCAAAAGGTTGTGAACCTGTGTTGTCCACTTTTGTAGTGACCATAAACATGGTAAAATTATTCAACATCTTTGATGTTGAACAGTATGAAATAAAGTTGCCGCCGTCTGTCCGCCGCTGTCTCTTCTTTATATCTTTTGAATTACGCAACGAATTTTAATGCAATTTTCAGTAATAGATAGAGTGATTCAAGAGGATGATTTATACGTATAATACAATATATAAAATATAATGACAATTATTGCATAGTAGTGTTTCTTGAAAGAAAAACATAGGACGAATACATACGTCTAATTGAAATGGAGAGTCATATGTAACTCAATAGATTTAAGTGTTACAGTTATATATAAAATTAGTAATATATGATAGATATATTAAAATGTAGAATTAATACGAACTCACAGATAAACACGACTGACAATCATTATGTAAGAAAATAGATCATGGCTATTATATTATTGTATAGTACAGTTGCTAGTAATTCCCAATTGTGACAGATTATAATTAATAAATTGCGATTTTATATGAATGATTTGAGAGTTGTACCTGTACAGAGTAAGTATTATACAGAATAGAACCTACTTTAAACAATTTAAGACATTTTATAAATTCTACATTAGGAAATAATATCGAACTCTACATTTAATTCCATTTTACAGTTATATCTTAAAATTCTTAGTTTTAATTTATTATATTATTATATAGCTTGACCTCAATCAGTGCAAAGTGCAACCTATATATTGTTTACATCACAAATAATTTTATGAGATATACTTTGTGCAGATTGGTATTGATCCCATTCAATCCAATAATTACTTAAAAAGAACCTTATGTAATTGTAATGATTTGTACCAAATTTATTAAATATATAATACTCATATATTATTATTAACCCCCCTTTTTTGTGTGTCTATTGAACGTCAAAATGTCTTTACGATGACGTGATATATTTTTGCAGAAAAAAAAACATGCTATAGAATATTAGCTTACTACATTGTGATTGTACAATAAACAAAACGTTAAAAATTTCAAATTTGTTTGAGAATCGTATTTATTGACACAAATTATTTATTTACAAATTTATAACCAATCTAAATTATTCACTGTAAATAAATGTTCATCATAAATTGAATGGGAATTTTAGAATCGAGGTCTGGTATTATTGCGTTAGCGAGATACGAAACGCGCCTGCGCGCACAGTGGGTAACTGCGGTGGGGAGGGTCACAAGGACGGGGCGCGGCATGCGGGGAGAGGCAACGTCACGTCGAACAACGCAGCTTATACGCTACTAAATTCAGAAGACCCCATATCTTATGACGTTATCGCGCATTGGCCGAACGTTGTATTAGTCCGGATAAAAACTTGCCTGCGTCGTTCGAGTCGTCCAACGCGATTACGCGAGGTGGGAACTCTGGTGTGACTTCGTCGAAGTAAAAGTGGCCTCTTACTACGAGTATAATATTTAGCTTAAATAATTGCCGATAGTGCATATTTCTAGTGTAATAGTGATTTAACATTATTGTTATCCCTGGAACTAATCCGAAATTCGATAATGAAAACGTCAAGAACAGTGCTGTCAAAATAAAGCGAAAATAAATAAATAGGACTGAAATACAACGAAGCTTAAGACGCGAAGAGTTAAAGTGAACCATATTGTGCTGACATTAGTGTGACTTTGGTTTGTGACTCGCGAGTTTGATGACCGAATTGTTTAAAGAAATTATGATTGCATTATAAACTCGAGTAGTGATGAGAGTATAGAACATTTGTGATTGCTGTACCTTAGAAGACCAAGATGGACTGGAGAACTAGAAAACCAGGCCCCAAACACCGGTGAAGACGCCGAGGCCACGGCCTTTTCAAATAGGTATGTACCGGTTTTTGACTATCATTTTGTTTGATTTATAATACTGCCTTATGCGTCCGCTGCAGGTGGCTCGTATTCCCCAGTACTTTAGTTATAACTTCCCTCAACTCTTGTGGACTATTGCACATAATAAACTAGCTATTTAAGTGCATACGTATACATATACGTATGCACTTAAATAGCTACATAATACAATCTTTAAGTAATTTTGATGTCATTGAACATTGTATTACATACCAACTTTTATATATAACTCAACAGGAAATTTTATATATACTTACATCTATCGTCATAACTATTCATATGCATTTTTGCAGGTAATCATGGAGAATATTAATCCAGAATTATCTGAAGCTGCCGAACCACAGACTTCAAACTTGCATAGCCTCATTGCTCCAAAGACGAACAATATAACAGAGAACAGCGAAAGAGAGACATTTTCTGTAAAAGATGAAAAAAGTAGTGACAGTGACTCCAACTGTGAGGACGTAAGTTCTAATGACGAACAAAATAATGTAAATAGTGGTACCAACTCTCAGTTTTATGAGAGTAGTGATAGTAAAATAGATTATGCTGTAAAATTAGATGATAGTGATACTTTAAGTGATATAGAGGATATAAAAACGGACACAGCCTCCGCTGACAGTGAGGACTCTGCACTCGGTAGCTTACCTCCAGATAGTATAACTAATGAGAGAGAAGAAGAGGTCCAGGATCGTTCTGACGGCAGTGACTCAGGTCTAGGATCAGAAACAAATGAAGATCATAAGATACCCAGTTTTAATCTTTCTCTCCCATGTACAAGTGGTGTAGATAACTCATCTAATAATGTGGAACAGAAAGAAGAAAGTCCTGATCAAATTAAAAATGATGAGAATTCAGATTTTGGTGACCATAAATTGGCTTCGCTACAAATAAAAACCCCAATCAAAAGCAGTCTCAAAAGAAAGTGTAATGAAGAAAGTGAACATGCACCACAGGTTAAAAGAAAGAAAGAAAACATCAATTTTGATAACGTCACAGTATACTACTTTCCTAGAGCACAAGGATTCACATGTGTTCCTTCTCAAGGCGGTTCAACCTTGGGTATGGAATGGGAACATACTCATATACAACAATTTACCTTAACAGAACATGCAATAGAACAAAGGCGACTACATAGGCAAATTTTACAACAGTTAAGAAATGAGCGCCATTCTATACAAGGCGCTTCGCTTTCATCTAGTGAAGATAGTGATACAGAAGAAGAAACTAGCGATATTTCAGAATCTGAGTTGGATTTAGATAGTTACTACTTTCTGCAACCTATACCAACACGGCAAAGACGAGCTCTGCTTCGTGCGGCTGGTGTCCGCAAAATTGAAGCGTATGAAAAAGATGAATGTAGAGATATAAGAACTTCACGTGAATTTTGTGGTTGTGCTTGTAAAGGTGTATGCAATCCAGAAAATTGCTCATGTAGTTTGGGTGGTATAAAATGTCAAGTTGATAGGTTAAACTTTCCATGCGGGTGTACCAGAGATGGTTGTGGCAATACTACTGGAAGAATAGAGTTTAATCCAGTCAGGGTTAGAACTCACTTCATTCACACACTAATGAGATTAGGTCTTGAAAAGAAGAATGAAGAAAATCAAGCAGCGGCTAAAAAGCAATGGGCACAATCACATAACCCCAATTCCGTCACATGTATATCAAATCCTTCATATGATCGACAACGTTGCATGACTCACGACGATGGTTTGTTGCGTGATGTTAACCTTACACCAAGAGTGGAGGTTGAATCGTGTGTAAACGCGGGGAGCTTTAATAATGTTCATTGTGATATGAACAACACCCCAGTTCATAGCGGCATGCAAGATAATTTGTCTTACGGTTATATAAATGATAATTCCGTTCACAATAGTATAAATGAAAATAACATCATGCACTTCGAAAATACGACTAATCATCACAGCCATACAGGTCCGTATACTTCGAGTATACTTCAAGGAAAAGGACCACCTTATGGTGCAGCTAACGCTATAGGGTATAATGCTATGTCTAACAATATGCAAAGGTTTCAATGTGATATTAATTACGCGTATGATCAACATACAGAAAACCATCACTTAAAGACCTTTCCAAGCTATCCTGCTTCCAGCTTTGAAGAATTTGCTCACAATTCACAAATGACCATGTTTAGTCATTATGGCCATATGTATGTTCCTGAGTATATGCATAAACCAAATGTTAATATAAATGATCATAATTCTTTACAATATCAGCACACCATGTCTCAAAGTCATTATAATGCGTACAAAACTCCTATAGAGAGTACTAATACAGAAACTAAAAACGAGTCTCAATACACTACATTAATATCATCGCCGTATCAAACTAGTAATAAGTTGCAAAGCGGTGAGCACGACGAAAATTGGTACAGTCACAATACTCTGCTGACCTTGGATCATACGGACCATGCTACTCAAGATGCTTCAGATAGTCAAACTCCAGGCCTAGATGTGCCCGCTGAAAATTCCGTTTCAGAAACCACTGAGAATTTTGGAGAATTAATAAAAAAAACTATGGTAGAATCTGTTACTGTGTAGATGAATTACTTGTTGTCTTTTAATCGTAATATTGAATTATAATGTTATTAAATTTTTAATTATATTAATTGGAACTTCAAAGCGTACTTTTAACTAAATATACTCCTCTTAGTTATTAAGGTTTTATTTATTGATCATAAATAGTATATTATATCGACTGATTTATATTAATAAAGCATTTTGAGTGTTTTACTACCACTATAGTTACTGATTAAATATAATAAATACATGTGCACTTTATATTGAAAAAGCAATTTTCTATAAATGTTATATAGAAAATATGTATCTATAAGAAGAGATAATTAGGTGGAAAATACCTTTATTTCAGAGTCATTATCCTCGCATACCTACCTCAATAAAATTAAAAAAAAAAGAACCATATCAATCCACTGAGCAAGTAATTACTACTAACGTGTGGATTGAAAGCATATACAACACAAAATAAATATCAATGTTTAATAATAGCGCTGTGTCCTTTAAGTGGAATAACAAATATAATTTTGAGCACATTGGTTACTCTTACTATAAGGCAATACGAATAAAAACTTTTTTTAAATCACACTGTATTATGTTTTGGATATTTTTAGGGACATCAATCATAATACGATATTATTTGTTGTTTGCTTTCGAAATTAATATAGTTACCTAATCGTTTACCTCCCTAAATCACCAAATTCAAACTGAAGATTCTAAATTAGTATTAATCATTTTGTAACCTTCCATGTCTTACATATGTCGCCAATGCACGGCTATGACTCATCAAGTATAGATGACTAAGAAGCATGTTCGTTGAATTTAACATTATAAGTATTAAAATTTAAAAAAATAGATTTTTTCTTAATAGAAGCAACGGGCAAGTTTCTTGCAGTTTTAATCTGCTTTCAAAATAGAGGTGTAATAAATAAAAATACTATTCAACAGTGCTTGTAGTCACTTTACTTAAAGTGACTATTTTTATGAATCTATATCTACAAATTATAAACCAATTTTTTGTCGATTGGGTTTACTTTCGATTCTCTACACAAGTGGCAAATGTGTAGATATATTGGTAACCTAATACATTTTTGATAACACGACTAAGAGAAACAATAAAACACCGGTACTACAGTGTCTTGTTCTATTTTGTAGGATCTTGTAGTGTATGTGGAAACACTGGCAGTTTATTATCTATCGTCTCGAGCCGAGCGTACACGGACCGCCGTGCGCAAGAGGGAAGGGATTCCCTGCGCAAGCGCCGCGGAGTAAAGACGTGGAGCTATGGCTAACGAGCCGATATTACGTCGATAACAACTTACATACAAGAAGACATAAATAACAAATAAGTGAACACTATATGTGGCGACGAGGCAAAATGGATATAAATAAAGATAAGTACAAAATCATTTAATAAGATATACATATACCTACGGGTACGGAGTAATTACAAATTTAGAAGGATTAGGGTGGGGCCGCACGGGGAGCGAATTATATAGACCTATACAGAAAAAGCAATAGCTGGGTAACATCGGTTTACGATCGATTTGCGCCAAGTAAGTAGGTACCTAATTATAAATTGTACTTGCTATACCTATAGTGTCTCTAGCTGGTAGGAATAGTCGTATTAATAATCATTGTAGTAATATGTTTACGTATATCCGTGATTTATTATTTTTAATGTATGATAATGGTGTACTGCCTACGCTGGCGTGGCACTGATGGAGTATGGTGGAATGAGCGGGGGGGATAGGATCGGTTGGCCCGTCGTGGTGGGTTCGTGTTAATTTGTCGCGATGGTTTCTGGGGGGAGCCGCGTGGAGGTCCCTCTGGCGTGATACATTGTTAGCAGTGGGATTATTTTAACAATCCCATTCCCCCTTCCGTATTTCCGTGTTGAAATAAAAAATCGGTAATGATTGTAGTTGCCGCTGCATGTTCGTTTCATGAGGGGACGGTGACGGTGAGATGTTTGGTGGGACATCATATTACGTGATGCAATAGACCTGTGGGTATGAAGTATAATAGAGCACTGTGCGGACGACACGTTTGTTTTGCTTTATCTTTTCTAGGTGTCGATGCACTTTAATTACTTTTGGCAATAGGGCCGCCTTATTGTATTTATACAGAGGTGGTGACTAGTGTTCAAATGTCACTATTTTCTTTTAGAGTATTGCTGCAAATGGAAGTGGTCTAAAGTTCCTCTTTCTAACTGTAATGATCACATGATAACCTAATATTACATTTTGTACGGGATAATATTACGATGTTGTCGGGTGATACGATATTATTACAAATGATGGTGAGCTGACAATTGTACCTGCATTATAGTACTGATGTTGGGTATTATATACAAAACAACAATAGTAAAATCTAAGGTGGGGTGACACACACGGTTTGAGCAGTGCTTGCTGGACAATATTTATAATTGCCTTAATTGATTGCAAGTGTTGAAGTATCTGGGTAACAGTGTCCCATACATTTCGATGCGGATGAGTTGTTCGGAATACCTGCAGACTATTTTATTCTGGTATTCGAGCAGAGCCGCGAAGTAGTGTGGTTAAAATTTTTTTATTTGGATTGGATTTGGCTTTTGGATTATATAATTTATAAATAATAATTATTAGTGAGCATTCCAATGGATGCCGGTGGGAATTGCAATTGTTTTGCATAGGAAGGTTTTAAATGTAGATTAATTATTAGTTTGATATATTATGTTGGGGTCTACTATACATGTTGTATAGTGCAAGGTGCCTATCTACTTGTCTGGCATATTTTTAACAATTTGTGCTTTGTGTTAAAATGAAGCGCGCATCTACACTTGCGACCTAGAAGGCAATCTTTTGGTTTGGTGAATTTAGTGTCTAATGAATTTGTTGAAGAAAAACAAAAAACAACGTAGTCAAGAGGTTGAGATGCCGACTATTATATTGCGAGGAAGTGTGTCGCTAGTTATGGTCGGATGTAAGGTAGAGGAGTGCTGTTTCTGTATGCGGTGTGTGGTTTCTATAGTCAGTAACACTGGAACGAGAAAAAGGATACCTAATTATGTATGTATATAGAATTATTCTATTATTTTTACAGCAATGACAGTGATTAACTTTTAATAATAAGCTATAGTATAGTACAGTGGTGGTGAGTATGTCTTTATGGAATCATATTTAAGATTCTCTCTAATTTAAAAATACCAGTAAATTAGAAATTGCACAATAATGGTTACATGAAATAGAACTACTATTAAGTTCTGAATTATTGTACCTACTCGCCTAATGCATTATGCGGATGAGTGAAGGGGTTATTAGAGTGGAAAAAAAAAATGTTTTTTATATTCTTTGAAGTTTCGGGAACATGGAATAGAATATGAATATTCTTTATTTAAAGAAGCTTGAATAAATAATAGGAATAATACCCATAATTGCATTAATGTACCGCATTTAGTAGCTGTGGAATGGAGTTAGAATTTGTTTTGTGATCACATGCAGACAGCGCTGACAGCTGTTTTATATGAATGTGACGGGGATGTTGGAGCGATGGGGAGTCATTTTTAATTGACAGTTAATCCAGTTGCGGCTGGAGTTGTGTAGTGTCGCGATACGCGAAATAAGTGTATTAATGTGGTTTTGAGTTTTGAGATAGCTAATAGGAAATGATACCTGCTTCATTGTAGTAGTTGTAAAATATATACATGTATTTGTTTATCGTCATAGTACTGGTGTTGGTCGCTCTCTAAATACTTTGGCCGCATTGCAGGGTAGCTTAGACAAATTAGCGTGTTTTAACTTTTACATACGTACTACAGTGCAACCTCGATAAAACAAATCGAAAAAATATATATATATATATATGTAGTATATCAAGTAATTCGTTGAACTGAGATTTATTATGTTGAAGGTACGTTGGTCTAAACTTCGTTATAAAAAGCTAAAAAACCTGTCTAAGCCATTTCAACTTGAATCTTTAACAATAGTGACGAGCAGCAGTGTTTACAAAACTTTACATTACTTTCCATCGAACACCAATTATTGGTCTACGAACAAAAGTACGTCGAAACATGTCCTGACATGAATCATATTATAAGAGATAAGTAGAGTTAGAGTCATACCATTGGTGGGAACATTATATAAAGGTTTTGGGTTAAGAAAATTCCTTATAAAGAGTGTTTTTCCAAATTAAAAAAAAAAAAATAATGTCGCAATTAAAAGGTATATTTTACATCGATTCTTATGGAAAATCCAAGGGATTACAAAGAATTAGTTAAATCAAGGAAGTCGTTATATACGAGGTATATTATTGTGAATGAGGTGCGTTATATTATGGCTGCACAATTATTATTATTATTACTAGATAATAATGTAAACCCTGATGCATGATAGTAACAATTACTGATGATACATTATTGGAAAAAAAAAATAGTTCTGAGGATACTATTAGTATTCCTATACTTTAGATTAGAATTATTTACTGGACATTCTTGTGGAGTAAATAAATCTGAAATATGTTTAATATTAGTAGTCATAAAGGTATATATTGTGAAAATTAAATGGATAAGAGTGGCGTTTAATTGTGCTATAATTATAAAATTTGGTGTTTTGCAGGAGTTCATGATTTGCTTATAAAGTGACTATTGGCTCAGATGACCTTAAAGAAATTAGCAAAGGAAGAAAAACTATGAGCATAATACTAATAACCAATACTTAAAGAGGATGAATTAAGAAGTTCAATGGAATTATAATGACGGTGACAATGGCATTGATATTCTAAAAAAGGAGCTACAGAGGTAAGGTAGACTGGGCCGTCAAGCATTAAATTGCGTATTGACGGACAGGTTGCATTAAATTGCGTTGGCTGGGCCATCAGGCATTAAATTGCGAACTGATGGACAGATTGCATTAAATTGCGTTGGCTGGGCCATCAGGCATTAAATTGCGAACTGATGGACAGATTGCATTAAATTGCGTTGGCTGGGCCATCAGGCATTAAATTGCGAACTGATGGACAGATTGCATTAAATTGCGTTGGCTGGGCCGTCAGGCATTAAATTGCGAACTGATGGATAGATTGCATTAAATTGCGTTGGCTGGGCCATCAAGCATTAAATTGCGAACTGATGGACAGATTGCATTAAAT